ACTACAATTCCCAACCTTCCATTTTAAATAAACTTGTTACTGTGAAAATGGTATAAGATTGATGTCTTTATAGTGCAGATAGGCACTTTGGGAATTGTACAGCCATCCTATAAAAACTTAAGCCACTTTAGGAGAGGAAATATTTTAAAGTAATAAATTGACATAAAATACTTGGTTACAAATGATATTTGGAAGAATAGAGGTTGAGTCTGGATGTGGGTTTTGGTGATTAGAGCATATATGTGCATAAAGGGAGAGAAAAGATCTCTGTGTGTGAAACTATTCTGCATTCATCATAGGAATCCAGTTGTTAAAAAGTACTCTAATAACAGTGGTGTAGCTGTTACTCTTCCATCCCCATTAAACATTATATTTCTTCCAAATCACTCCTCTTCAAGCAAGATCCTAGTGAATACCCCTGTTTTATATGACTTAATTTAAACAATTGTGCTTAGATTTTATAAAATGTGTGACTTTTATATTAAACACTTAATTGTTCCACCGGCATTGTTTGAGTGTCCCCCACACCAAAGAAAACCTTTTGTGTGTACCTTGTATATTGGATTATAACCTCTTAAAGCTTTTGAAAGTCCTTGGATCTCATTTGCTAATATGCATTCAGCACATTTCTACCTATATACATTCTCAATTAATACAACCCTTATCAGAAATTTGGAAATGCTCAGAAACCCTCAGAGCAGTAACACTGCAAACTACAGAATAAAGCCCCATGGAGAGAAGGGATGTCATTTGATCTTGGGGAGGACAGAAACCCAAATACTTGCTTTGTATGGAATGTGCAACAGGTACTAACCTTGGTCACCCTTTCCCAAATTTCTCCAGCAGGAGCCACAAGCAGAATTTTCACCCTGTTCCAAACACACACAGGTTCCCCTCTCTGTTCCACAGAAATATTTTGTCAGTACTCTGTCCCTGCCCATTTTTATCACTGCTTAGCTCTGTGCATCGCATTATCCCTAAAATGCAGCCTTTAGTAGCAACAGGGAGACACCACTAATAAGACCTTTGTGGCATTCCTTCTTCCCTAGGCCCTCCATTTTGTTTTTGGAAGCTTGGGAAATTTTAAGCTGTGTTTTTGCCTACAGTATCAGAGGCAACAATAGGAAAACTCTCTGAATCCACACCAATGCTGTGGATGTCAGTAGAACTTTTGCAGCTGAAATTCATGGACTTGCGGGGAAAATAACACTGTAGTGCATGCTGACTTTAGTGGAGCTACTTTTGAATGACCGGATATAAAATAAGGGTTAGCGATAGTTCTGTGTCATAGTAATTGTCTTGTAATAGTGAGATTCACTCCACTCAAAATTGGGAGGTACACTTTATGCAGGAACTGTGGTGAAATGGGAGGATTCTTTTTGACTTCATAGGAAGTTCTGAACTCATATTTTGCTATACATAATGCCGGCTCCACAAAGAACTTTTTTTTCTTTTCATGGTCACAAATGTTTCTTTTGAGAGCTTAATTAGCAATAATAATGATAATAATATATGCTGGCCTATATATGTATAAAAAGGAAGCTTATTTGTTTAAGAGGATTTTAAAAAGTTTATGTAGTTCAACAGGATCGCTCTGAGGTTGAAAAGCATACCTGTTGTGTATTAAAACCTCCTGTGTTTAGCATTATTGTGTGACTGCGAATCCTTCCATATAAATTTTGCACACTCTTTTTCTTGCATGTTCAACCCTTTGACTTTGACAACTGTTTGGTACAAGCAGTGGGGGTTTTTTGTAAACTGTTTTTGACACTGAATTATCAATAAAATATTCAGAAAATTATGAAGAGTGGTACTTTTGTTACGCCAGTTGGCTCAAGGTTCTCCTGGATTAAGGTTGTCTTCAGTTACCCTGGTTACCTCCATAACCCAAGGATCGTAAGGCAACAAAATATTATCTTAGTGTTCTGTTCTTCAAACCTGGCAGGGGAAAACTATTTCATTTTCAGGGCCTCTCCCTAGACCATGAACAACACCAGTCCACTGACTCAAGCTGTTGAACGAAGACCAGACTACACAGAGCCTTCAAGGCCAATGTTGTCCTATATCTACATAAACAATGCTGTTACTGGTCCACATAAGATGTGTGTGAGACATACGTTTGCACATTCTTGAATATGCGGCATGGCTTGTCTACAGTGCTCCTTCTGTGCTTTTCATGGGGTAAGCAGGATGTCCTCTGGGTAGGATGGATGACAAATGTTTCTATTGAGGTCCACATTCCTCCACTGGTGATTTGAGGCATGTGGATGTGAGTGATGCTCAAGGCTGACAAGGCCATAGCAGCAAATGGGTGGACCACCCCTTTTCTATTTCTGCCACCCCTTTGTCTTCCATTTCCCTCCTATGTAGCAGGCTGACTGGGAAAAGGCAGGTTGCTCTTGCCAGAGGCCTGAACTCA